GTTTCAGCAAGCATCCCAGCAAAAAGCAAAGCAAAATGGTTTAGTGCACTATTCCTAGGGGGGTGGAGATGGCATTGGGGAATAGGAATGGGTGAAGATACACATTCTGAAATACCTGGTAGCCACAGTAAGGTCCTTTTTTTCCTCCACAAATGGCCATGGGAAAGGAGAAAAAAAGAATTATTGGGCAGTTGTTTTTTAATTCATATTTACTCAGCCACCCACAGGTGGGTGCTATGCTCCTTATTTTACAGATGAGTTCACCGAGGCTTAGAGGTTAAGCGTCTCCCCACGGCACACAGGGAGCACTAGCGCCAAGAGCTAGCCCCAGGTCATCTATCGCCAGAACTCATGCCTAATCACTAGGCACATGACTGAATACAGCTGACAACACGGAGGGATTCCTCTCCAGTCTCACAGCAAAGGATTCCCCCCACTCCCCCATCTTCGATCATGGTCAAAGCACCCCTGCGTTGCGTCTGGGAGGAGGGAAGGATGGCCCAGGCGGGGCTTAAGGTGGGCCATCAACTCTATGTGCACATACCCTTGTGTCCTGCTCTTCTGGGTTCTCGACATTACTCCTGAGCTGAAAAACTTCTCTTGTCCTTATGCTTGTTTTGAACAATACTATTTCCTAATAGTCAGCGATTTCCTAAGAACTCTGGGGTTCACTAGGTTAAAGCAGTCTGAGTGCCAGTGGCCTCTGTGCCTTCCCTCGGGGGCCGTACCTTCTGCTTGTATTGCCCCATCCTCCCCATGGAGCCACCCTGACCCCACCTCCTTCACGAAGCTCCCTCTTCTCTGCAGTCTGACCTCCTGCGCTACATAATTAGACCTCTCTTTACACTGTGTTTTCCAAAATAGACTCAAGGCAATTTCCAACACATGTCAAAGCACAAAAGCACCAAACATAAAACAAATGCAATTGGGTGAGGTGGGGTAAGAATTCTATTAAGAAACCCTGGCAGAGGAAAGCATAGCCACCGAACACAAGCGGAATTTCCTCAGAGCCAGGGCAAAAAGGAAGACAGCAGAGAACGAAGCATTTCTCATCTAGTACGAGAATGCAGACCAGCCAAATAGGAAGCAACATTACCTCCTAGGGTGAAGCTCAGAGATTTGTTCCCCAAGTCGTTATCTGAGGGACACCATACAATGTAATGACTTGCACTATAGCAATCTTACCCAAGAGATCTGTGTGACCTGAGGGTGACTTAGGACCTGGACCTAAGTCTTGTCTTGCCCTCACCCTCTGATATCTAGTCTTTGTACTTGTCTGTTCTCTGCTGGGGACACCACTTCCAGACTGGGCACCTGGAAGGGGCCTTTTATGGGAGGAGCTCACCAACGATTGCCCTGACGACTCTAAACACAGAGCTACCGGCATCCCCGCTGCAGTTACAAATAATACAATGCCACGGGCATACGGTGACAGAGCCAGCACACACACACTCCTATTGTCACCCTCTCCAGAACCAGGCAAGGGATGGGAGGGTAGGGGGGTGATTGACTCCTCTCTCCCACAGTAATTCACCCCTCTGGACCTTCTGAGATAGGTGGTTCCAAGAGCTTTGCATATCCAATCCATTGGAGCTTTAACACCCACAGCAAAAGAGTCAGAGAGAACAGTGAAATAGAAAAAGGCCTTACCTGAAGTAGCATTCCCCACTCAGGTTCTGCATTGTGACAGAGCAAACCTAGTTGAATTTCTTCTTTTGTTCAGATCCATGGCTCAAAGACTTGTCTGCATCACAAGTGCTTTGAGAATCTTCCTCCTTTCTCAGCAAAGTGTCAAAGCAATTGGCGGTGATGCGGCTGGAGTGGAGCCACAGGCAGGCTCACTATGGTCCTGCCATTCCTGGACTGTCTGAACCTCAAAACGCATACACATAACACAGAGATAATAATAGTACTTGCTTCAGATGGTTATTGGACATAAATAACATATGCAGAACCTACTACACAGTAAGCATTAAATACTAGTATATGTTAAATGACTAATTATGAAAATACAAAAATACAGAATTCTGCACATAATTTCAGAGGTCCATGTACTTCTAAGGGATCCTCAGGTTAAGAATCCTTAGCCCAGTTCCCAAGTCAGTGAGACAATAGGTCTTGCCAATGCCTACATTTTCTCTGTGAACTCCATCAGCATATATGCAGCACCAGTTGTATACTGGGAATCCTGGCCCAGGCCAGTAGATTGGTCACCAGTGTTGTCAGCACACTTGCGGGGAAGGGCCCATTCCCATTCTGCTCATGAGGTGAGATGACTTGCCCAAGGTCTCATGGTGGAGGAGATGCTGTAATCTGTCTTCTGACTCATTTAGCTGTCTTCCTGAGAAAGGACCAGTGAGGCTTCCTGAGGCCCAAAACTGCTCTTCATCCTGCAACACTGTGCATGTGAGAGATCCTAAGATGCACATGCGGGGTCATCAGACGGGCAGTGACTTCTGCACAATCAGTTCCGAGTGTGTGTGCACGAAAAAGAACTCATCTGCAGGGCGCTTCCTGCTGGAGAGCTGTGCAAGCTGCTAAACCACTTCAGCAACAAAATCAAGGTGACAGTTTGAGTCCTGCCTCTTGTGTGTGACCTCATGAGTCACTGCACCACTCTGAGCCGTGGTTTCCTCATCTGTGAGAGAGGATGACAGTTGCGACTGCTTAGGATGCTTCATGAGGGTTGCTGGCGACCAAGATCAACAGTAATTGATATAAATGTGGAGTCTGGCAGAAGGCTGACCAGGACTCCTTTTGATATTCACAGGGTGAATATCTACATTTTATTACCTGCTGCTGACTCAATGGCCTAAAGCAAACTCCCCCAAGACCTGACAATCTTACTGTTTGCAAAACATTACCATTGATATGTCTGTTTGCATTCCTAAAGGCAATTGTGTATTCTAGCTAATAAAAGCAGCTGGGAATGGAGCAACCGCTATGGTTAGGCTGTCCTCTGGTTCCCCCGGTAATTAAAAAATTAATATTCCATCGTTTGTATCATTTGTGCGTCAGCCCTCTCTCCAAGTCTTTGAACCCGCGAAAGCCACGCTGGCCATGGACTCTCGCAGAGGGTTGTGAGGCCGGAGATGTGAAGCCATCTGTTTCCAGATGAAGAAACCAAGCCCAACGAATAACAGCTCACTGGGCTTCTTTCACTTTATTCCTTCACCACACTGTGCAGGCTGGTTTGACAAATATTTTCCCCGTTTACATAATGATCAAGATAGAGAAGAAAATTTTCATGGGGCATTAAATAGCTCAGGGAATGAAGAGGCCACAGCAAATAAGTCCCGTTGTCACCTGAACGACTCTGCAGAGGCGGGGAAATGGTGAAGCAGGAGAGAGGAGTCGGCTGGGGAGGATTTAACAAGCCAGTGATAACTCTGCTTCTCCCCCAACAGGAGCCTGAGAGAATGGCGGCCCTGCTCCCCCTGGTTTCAGGGAGCGCAGTCACTTCCCAGGAACCGCACTGGCACTGGCAGCCCTTCCAAAGCATGAGAGTTTCAGTTTAGTCAAACAATTTAAGCTCGTTTGTGGCGGGGAAGAAGTGGATTTATAAAGAAGCAACCAAGGGTGTTAAAGAGGCACCTGAAAAGACAGCCAGAAATCTGGCTTAGGGATTAGAACAACTGGCTTTCTGGGCTGCGGACAACTGTCCGCTCAACAATTATCCAGCCTAGCAGGAAACATATTTTTCTGTGTATATTTGCATCCAAATAGCATGTATTCTGTCGGTTGCATGAAAGTCAAAAAGTTTCTCCTTATAAACTTCATTTAATGCCAACGAGTCTGAGAAGACATCATCACCAGTCTCTTTTCACACAAGCAAACAGGAGCAGAGTATATGATTGGCTGGGATTTGTTGTACATCTCCAGAGCTCCAAGCACAAGCTGCCTGTGTGCCAAGCACAAGAAAAGCCTGCATATGAGCTAAAGGTCAAGAGGGTGCAGGCTCATCTTATGAGCACATACTTGGATCTTCCTACCTCACAGCTCCTAGTGAGCACAAGAAGGGCTTCCAAGCCAGATCCAGAATTCAATGTCATTTTATTAGCCCAGATCCCCTAAAAAAGAAAAAAAAGCCAAAACAGGGGATGCAAATTTTTACATACTTTATTGATTTAGGGGCCAAACAAGGCAGTATTTGGTCTTTAAGAAAGGCACCTCATTGAAAATACATCACAGTGCTGTCGAGTGATCCCAGTCACAGGATGTGAGGACCGGAAGGACAATCTTTGGATGATGTTGCTTAGGACACTTGCTCATTTATTTGAAGGGCCCCTTCACACACCGTGGATGAAAGAAGGCAAGAGCGTAGAGTTGTGGCACACATCGGGTGGTTGCTGAGCACTCACCCATGAGAGCAGGTGGACTGGTAAATCAGTGGTAAGCCGGCAAGGGAGTGAGACCGGCCTGTCCCCGCTCCCCATGACTCCTGTAAACATTTTTTGCTGAGCCACTGCCCCCAGGATGAGCACACCCTGTATCTCTTTCAAATGTGGAGATGATTTTTTGATCACAGGGTGTGGGGAACCAGTGTCAGTAGTCAAGCCCTGCCTGTCCCTGGTTATAGGACAGAGAGGACAACAGTTTGATTTCCTGCATTCCTGGGCGGACAACCCATGAGGTTCTGAGATAAAAGTTGAGGTCTCAGGGAACTGGCTTTAAAAAACATTGTTACCAGTCCAGAGTAAATGAAAAACTGATTCCTTAGAAATAGTACTGCACCTCCTTATTTCTACTTATATCCTTCAATCAGTCTTTACAAAAATTAATTACACATACTCTTTAAGACTCCTACTACATGCGAAAGAATCACCTCCCTACAACACTGCTGCCCTTCCAATGCTTTTCGTGAGCCCTTCACCACACTTGATTCTCCATCCTTCCCCTGACCACCCCTCCCCTCTCCCCAGCACCTAAAAGCAGGGATCACGCCGCGGGGTGATGAGCAGTGGTGCAGTCGCGCCTGGCCTTCTGCTACTAGGCTGAAATAGAGAGGAAAACAAGAGAGAACAAAATGGGTTTTTAAAAACTAAGTAAACATCAGAGAAGGCTGGCATGCACGCCCCAGCAACCAAATGCATGAAACACCGGACATTTCTTTGCCAGGTGAAAGCTCTCATGCTTGCCGAGGTTAAGGCTCTGGAATTAAATGAAGCAAAAATTGAATCCTAATCACCCCCCAAAAGGCATACACATTCCCCACATCTAGTTTATACCCACAGCCCAAATATCACACACACGTGTTGTGTGTGTACGCGCACAGGTAAATGTATATGGAAGGATGACAAATACTGAAGCAAGGATCATGCACGTTACAAACATTCAAGGACCTCAACTTTGAGACCAAGTGCCTGCAACTGTCCCCAGTCAGAGTGGAGCAGACTCCAAGATTCACGAGGCCACCTCAATCAGACCAGGATCCCATTCCCTGCAGACAGCTGACAGTTTTGGTTTCACTCCTTCCCAGAAACACCACACACCAGACTGGGCGGAGTTAGTTTACAGGCAGGGACACAAGGAAGAGCAGAGCCAGCAGACACTCGAACCAGAAAGAGAGAGAGAAGCAAGACAGCCACGTACCCACGTTCAGCTGCCAGGCAGAGGACAAGCCCCTGGTGGTCCCAAGAGAGCAGGAGAGTTCAGACAGGGGGCACTGGGCACTTGAGAGTCACTGCACTGAGTCAGCAGATGATGCCAGGGCAGGAGGCATTATTTACTGGACCTGCCACTGATTTTCTAATGGTTTTTCCTGAGGCTGCGGCTTTCATGGTCCCTCACAGCAGGCTGTTAATTTGTCCATTTGCCACGAATCACACCAGAGACCAAAAGGCACAGTATGGAACCCGGGAAATGCTTTACAGTTGGGGAGCTGAGGTTAGGCATAAAGTTGGTTACTGTCATAGGTGATTTTATTTTTGGGTGATCTTTTCTTGGGGAGTCTGTGGCCACCATCATCATGAAGTAAGGGGCGAAGGATTGGATCTGGAAGGGAGAGGGTTTGAGTTTAAAAGGTATACATCTGATCTAAGTTTCATATCCTGGAGAGTGACTGGGTTTGAATAAATTCTAATCAAAACGAATCCAAGAAGAGACTACCTCCAAATCAGTGTTCTGTTCATCCTTGGAAACAGAGGCAAAATTAAAAATAAAAATAAAAGCCACTTGGAGGAAGCAGACTGGCTGCTCTCAGATGCCTAGCCTAGGTGTTTAGAAGATACTCTGAATTTAAAAGGACCTGTCATCTGGTTTAATTCTTTGGCCACATTTGGTTTTCAAGCACAGTTCCCAAATGATCCCTACTTTATAGAACCATGATGCAGACCACAAAAATATCCCAGCTTGGCCTGGCTCTTTCTCTGGTGACACCCTCTTCCACTAATTTCTGTAATCTGTAATTTTAGTACCTTTTGACTTCCATATGGGGGGGGGTGTGAAATCAATGAATCCTGTCCATACATGGACTCATGAGGCTTTTCACCATGGGCTAGGACAGTGGTCGGCAAACTCATTAGTCAACAGAGCCAAATATCAACAGTACGACGACTGAAATTTCTTTTGAGAGCCAAATTTTTTAAACTTAAACTATATAGATAGGTACATTGTTATTAACTTAATTAGGGTACTCCTAAGGCTTAGGAAGAGCCACACTCAAGGGGCCAAAGAGCCGCATGTGGCTCACGAGCTGCAGTTTGCCGACCACGGGGCTAGGAGAGAGGTGGAATTCCCTGCAAACAATCTGCCACCAGGAACTTGGGCCCTGCCTGACTACACTTGACGTTGGACTTCTAATCAGCTATTGGAGATGGAATAAATATCAGGGAATTGGTACCTGGCAGATATCTGAGTTAATTTATTTTAGTCAAGAAATCAAATCAAGAGTATGTCTAAAGAAGCAAACAGCTGGGAAAGCCACCTCACCTATAACTTAGAAAGTAGGAGAGTGTACACATACCTGTACCAACACACACATACAGATGAGATGAGAGTTGCACATACACCAAAGATACATCAAGCAAGTGCGTTTTTAATCAATTCATCAAATGATATTCTAGCTGGCTTGAGGAACCTTCCTTCTGCCTGGTCTGCCATTCCCACCCTCTCCCTCAACATGGATAGGAAGAAGAAAGAAATTCCTTTATAGACCCAATATTAGATAAACATAACCAAGTCTTTACATGTGGCTTTGGAGAAGGCTGCTAGAATGCTCGCAAACACGACATCAGGGGTCTGGGAGGCGTCGATGGCAGCGTGGATCCCCCGTTTCCTGTAGTATTCCACCAGCGGGGTAGTCTGCGTGTGATAGCCCTCCAGGCGGATTTTCAAGGCCTTCTCATTATCATCTGATCTTCGGATCAATGGTTCCCCAGTGATCTGAGAACAGGAAGAGCACAATGGAAGGCCGGGACTGTTAGCCAGATGCAGATTTGGGCTGCTGTCTGATCCCAAAGTCCATGAGAGGGAAAAACAGACAATCTAGACCATATCAAAATCAGGGATGCATTAGCAATTATAATCTTATTTGTCTATTTCCTGTTTTTACTAGAGTGTCAGCCATCAACAATCTGAAAGTAATAAGTGCAAAAGAACTCTGAATGGTAGAACTACTATGTGAAATGTGACAAAATGAACACATGATGGGACTGAAATCTGTGTGAGCTAATGAACTTGTCTTACAGACAGGGGTTAATACAAGAAATTCTTACTATTGCTTGCATGCTCTAAAACATACAAAATGGACTACTTATGGCAAATGACACAGTGAATATGTATGAGACCCTCCCTTTTACACCTGCAAGCAATTAAAGACTGTCATAAGAATGTGACAGTCTCCAGCCAAAATATTCTGAATCTGCAGGGCACGGGAGAATCACTAGAGAGAGGACATTCTTCTGAAGGTCAACAAACTTCTGTCCAGTACTATCCTTTCCACCCTGACTGATTCTGGGCTTCCAAGCAGCCCCTCCAATTAATTGGCCATCTAGGTTACCGTGGTGTCTGAAAGGTGCTGTCTTGGACAAAAGGCAGGTACAAACTGGGCTCTGGGAAACAGCTGGCGCTGGTAGCCACCTCCAGGTCGAGCAATAAACCAGCTGGAGAAACGACTCACTAAACAGCCCATGTGGTTTACGTGACTAATATTTCTCATGGTTAAGTTAGTAATACTGGTAAGACACAGAGGGGAGGTGGAAAAAACAAAGAAGAAAAAAAGCAAAGAAAGAAAGGGGAGGGAAAGAAAAGGAAATTTCCTGTCCTGAGGCTACATACGTCATCTTTCATGGGCTCCTTTGGGGGGTTGAACTCCTCGTGGTAGGAACGGCCACTCAGGGGGTGAATCAGCCTGAAAGACAGCAAAGGAACACAAGTCAGGTGGCCCGAAAGTATCCCGAACTGCAGGGGTCTTCAAGATGATGAGCAGAGTCAGGGAAGCTGGTGCAGGGCTTTAACCCAGCAGAGAACGCGGCTAGAGGCAACTCTTGCTTAAGAAGATACTGGGCTTATGCCTGAGTGGGTGTTTTCTATTCTGACCCAACATGAAAATGAGTGTCTGGCTGAAGAGCTGGTATAACCACCTAATTCAGGACTTGAAAGAGGAACTCTGGTGCTGGTCTCACACAGCCATTCATTCCATTCACCCGTTTATTCAACTGTTACTAAGTGCCTAGTCCCATTCAGGCCTTAAGCTGAATCCAGGGGCCACAGGGCAACCAGTCAAGTTTCCTGCTCACAAGCAGTGCTTAATTCAGTGCGGGAGGCAAATGTGGAAATAAATAACCACACTAAACCAGACAATCCCTTAACAGAGATTTGTGTAAAATGCTACGGGGGACAGAGGACAGAGAAACCAACCTTATTTCCTAACCTAGTTTGGTTATAAATCCAGAAAGGTGCTACTGGGAAAATATGTGCCATGGATGCACACACCACCACACGAAGCAGCACCGTTTGGGATCACGTAGGTAAAAGCGAGCCCATCCACTGAAGGGCAATAGTCAAGGTGCTGGGAAAAACGACTCACTAAACAAGCCATGGAATAAACCATGGAATTAGGAGCCCAAGAAGCAGCACGTGTTTGGCACTGGAGCTACATTTGTGCTGTGCCCCTTAGGCAACATGCCTGTGTTCCTGACTGGGTGCGGCCACGCCACAGGAGCCCAGAAACCTAAGAAGGGAAGGAGGCAGGCCAAACACGGCTCAGCAGCCAGGGCCCACTTGCTCAAGCTCATGTGGTTTCCCAAGTCCATGCCAACCAAGGTCTGCCTATTTAATTTTTTAAAAAAATATATTTTATTGATTTTTACAGAGAAGAAGGGAGAAGGATAGAGAGCCAGAAACATCGATGAGAGAGAAACATTGATCAGCTGCCTCCTGCACACTCCCTACTGGGGATGTGCCCGCAACCAAGGTACATGCCCTTGACTGGAATCAAACCTGGGACCCTTGAGTCCGCAGGCCGACGCTCTATTCACTGAGCCAAACCGGTTAGGGCTGCTTATTTAATTGATGGCAGCTCTCCTCAAGGTCTATTAGACCAGTATGTCCCAATATTTTTCAGCTCTTGACACGCACAGAAATACAGTACTCGAGGTGCTTGCTCCTCCGGGGGACGTATGGCCTCCCCAGGCCTGCCTGCTGCTCTGATGGCCGAAGGGATCAATATCTCAGCTCATCATGTAGGAAAAGTCTGTGTTAGACTTCAGAGCTGTGTAAAATATGATGTTGTTTCAATAACCGCATTTTTTTGGGGGGGGGGTGTCAAGTGGTCCATTTATAGCATAAGGTGGTTCATTTATAGCACTGGGGAGAGGAGAGGTGATGGCAGAGAAATTATCTATACTGAGTGGGCCGGTGACTGCAAGCATGCAAGGTGAGGATGGGCCCTCCTGTATTTCAGCTGTGGGAGACCCAGGGGAGGGAGAGTGCAGGCCGATCCGCTTATCTAGCTTTCCCTTTGGGAATGGGGTGGCATGAGATGTGGACCGTATTTCTTCACTTTCTGGAGAGCACAGGGCACAGAGCAGCCAGCTGGCAATAAACACGACTTTCTCCTGTCCACCTCTCTACATCTCTTGCTCACTCCCACATTCCCTCAGCTTCCAGTTACAACAATAGTGCTCCTTCCCCACTCACAAACATCATTTAAAGAGGAATGCAAGGCTCATTCCTTAAAAGGAAAAAGAGAAAGCCCAATCTCCAAATTCTCAAAACGGAATTGGTCTTAAGTTCTGACTAAAACAGCTCTATGAGTCACAGAGCCTGGCCTCTTGGGGAAGGTGAAGATGTGGAGGGGTCGGGGCTGGGAATCTGCAATCACTGGGACCTTGAGTGCGGCACTTCAGACACCTGTATTCTCATCCACAGAATGGGACGGTAGGAGACATTAGGCTAATTATACCAGAGAACCAGCTGGTAGGATAATTAGGATACTAGAGAGCCAACACTGAATAGGTTAAAACCCCAAACTACCAACCATACTTATTCAAGAAATAAAATAATGACTCATAAATTTATTAGAAGTGAGGTCTGTGCTCATTCAGAGGATATCTACAGGGGGTCCTTAGCATGTCAGATTTAAATAAGATCCACATGAACTACTAGGTCCTGACTTTTAATTCCAGGAGGCAGAAAGCAGGCTCTGGTGCCAGCTCTGTCACTAACGTGCGGAGGGAACTTGGAAACAACAGTCTGGCTGCCCATTTCCTCCACTGCGAGGGAGGGGTCACACCAAACCACTCACTTCCAAATTGAGAGACCGAGTCTTCTCTGTTTCGTCCTCTACAACCACCCTGTAGTTTGTTCTTCAGCATCTCTGTCCCCAACCAGCCAAGCCCAGTTAAAAGCCTCCACTTCACATGTGGGCCAGTCAGGCTGCTAGGTGGAGTCCTTGTCTGTTTCTCCTTTCCCCATTTAGCCTGTATGCCAGGACCAAGCTAATGTTCTTAGAATGTTGTTTTTGCCACAATACCTAGTGGCTTAAGAACATGCCACGACTCCTGACTCTGTCACGTCCTTGGCAGACCTTCCCCAGTCTAGCTCCCACCCTCCCTTCCCAACAGCACTCATTCTACTGCCCAGCCCCCCAGGCCATTCCTCTAAGTCTGTACAGACCCTTGCCACCAACCCCAGCTAGAGTCCCTCCCCCAACCCATACTCATTCTGGCCTCTACTCCCTTTGGGAAAGCCAACAAAATTCTCTTTATCCAGGAAGGTCAAGTTTGACATACACCTCTCCTAGGCAGCCTTCTCTCCCTCCTCCCAAACTCTCTTCTTGGACTTCCTACTACACTAACAGCTCCGGTTTCAGGTATGGTTTGTAAACTCCGAGGTCTAAGATGGGCATGTTGTTGTTCTTCTATACCAGCGGTTCTCAACCTGTGGGTCGCGCCCCTTTTGGGGGTTGAACGACCCTTTCACAGGGGTCGCCTAAGACCATCGGAAAACACATATTTGATTACATATTGTTTTTGTGATTAATCACTATGCTTTAATTATGTTCAATTTGTAACCATGAAATTGGGGGTCACCACAACATGAGGAACTGTATTAAAGGGTCGCGACATTAGGAAGGTTGAGAACCACTGTTCTATACCCTCTCCTGCTCCCTGCCCCAGAGTCTAGTACTGTGCTGAGCACAAAGCAGGCACTCAAGAAGCTGGCCCGAATGAATTAAAGGTCCCCAATGTCACCTATTACTATTAACATTTGCTTTGCATACGAGGGACCCCAGGCCTGGTATGTCCCATCTTATCAACCCTACCACTGTATCAACTTTGTCTACCCTGTGCCAGTGGGGGTTCAAAGAAAGAAAAGTTCCTGTATTGAAGGAGCCCATGGAAGAGCTAGGAACAGGAAACCTGGACGCTTGAAAAGAAAATTAACGTAAGATGATTCCACTGTGTCTAATATAACCTTACAGGAAACCACCTGTATCATGCACTCTGCTGTCTGTTTACATGCCTGCCTCTCTCCTTGAAGATCTGGACTGCAGACACATGGAAACAATGTTCAACCTCATTAGGAAATCAGAGTAATAAAATTTACAATAAGAAAACAGCTTCCCCTTAATTAAATCCAAGAATTTACATGAATTATGATGATCACAGCATCAACTTAAAAGTGAACAACTGGAAGAAACACAAATGTACAACAATAAGGAAACAATAAAGTAAATGATGGTTCATCCATGAAAAATCATACAGCAAATAAAAATAATGGTCATGGATGTCTGGTTCCATGACGTATGCTGACCACCTTCCTGAGATTCCATTAAAATGGCCACGGAATATAAAAGCTAAAGCCCACAATAAAAAAGGGGTGGGAGGATCTATTAGTGGCTGAGAGCTTTCAACATATTTCTGGGAGACACAAAGGAGACGGCAGAGTGATTAGTAAAACAGGACAGAGGAAATTGCCTGCGATCTTTCAGAACCAACTCGCTTGGATGCAGTGCATTTGTGTTCAATGTTGACTACGATAGAGAAACAAGCACTTTAAAACAAGACATGCACAAACACAAAATAACAGTGGTTTTGGCAACAGTGGCTGTATGATGAGCAAAATTTCCCTTCATTTTCTAAACTTTGTGTAGATGGTCATATTACTTGTATAATTAATAAAAACCCTACAGCAAGGTATGGCAATTCCAACTGAAATCAGATTTTTAAAAGCATTAAAACAGAGGTATACATGGAAAGAATTTAGCACTTCTTAAGCACCTACTGTAAGCAAGGCTCTGAATGATGCACTTTATATGTTACACTAGAGGCCCAGTGCACGAATTTTGTGCACAGGTAGGGTGCTTAGTGGCTGCCAGCTGCGGCCTCCCTTTGTTCTGCACTGCCCCCCTGTGGTCAGCGCACGTCATAGCGATTGATTGAACTCTCGGTTGGTCAAACTCCCGAGAGGACACTTTGCATATTAGGCTTTTATATATATAGATAACATGCGCAGTAGTTCCTCAAACAGGTATTATTAACCCCACTCTAAATATGAAGAAACAGACTCAGAGAGGTTAAGTTACTTGCCTAGAATCAGAGTAAAAGGGTGACAGGACTGAGATGCTGTCTGACTTCAAATCCCTTACTCTTCTTTCCACATCCCATTCCATCACCACCTCAGCAGATATCACCAAATAAAATCAATCTGAGTTGAAATGGCATTAAGCTTCATGACTGGGATTAGGCAAGAGCAGTTCCCATGGTCTGACGAATCTCTGAAGAAGCATGAAAAGAAGGGACCTTCTAGGGACAAATACCTTCCTGTAATTCTCCGGATCAGCAGGGAGTCTGGGATGCGGAATTCAATCACAGAATCAAGCTTCTCTTTCCTCTTCTCCATGAGGTCGTCAAGCTGTAAAAGAGTGTGTGTCCCACCTAAGCTACCGGAGCTTGATCAGACCCATTTCCCTCAAAGGAATTAAGAGATTAAGGGCCAGAGCTCATTATCATGCAGTGGTGATACAAAACAAACCCACTCACCATTTCTGCCTGCCTCACAGTCCGGGGGAAGCCGTCTAGAAGAAAACCATTTTTGCATGGAGGGGTGTCCAAATTCTTCTCAATGAGTTCCACGACCATTTCATCACTCACCTGGAAGTCAAGGACAAAATAGCCTTGGGTTTAAATCCATAAAACTAGGTCAGTGGTCGCCAACCGGTGGTCCGTGGGCCACTGGTGGTCCATGAGGTCTGAAAGGTTGGCAACCACTGAACTAAGTGACATTAACCCAATTGCAGGGTCACAAGTTTGTGTCTATATAACCTGATGACTGCAGGAGATGGTGGGGGTTGACCAGAATGCAGAAAGGCTCCAACTTTCCTGTTTCCCAATCTTGATTAGGCTCACAGTAAAGTGACCTGGGCCACCCTGGACATGACACAACAGAGAAGTTCACTGATTGGCAAGATTGGGTTGGCACCAAGGAGCTGAGGAGGCCAGCCCAACACACCTTTGAGCCTTTGTGAAAACCCCAATGAGGTCCCCTCCCAGCTTTCAAAGACTGGTTTTCCTCCTGGGCCTTCAGAGAAAAGGTTCCCTGCTAGTATTACAGTGACGACTGCCCATCTTGGTAGCTAATGCTCTTATCTCCCGGGACCAGCTGTGAACTTGGGGACAAAGTGTAAGCTTTGCAACGAAGTGAAGGTTGGAGATAAGTAATCTCATTGCCACATCCCAACTTTTTCTCAGTACAGGATCTTCTGCCAAGACCCAAAGTCCAGAATAGCTAGCTTTCTAGCTTGACAGGGCCTCACTGACATGAAAGGAAAGCTGGAAGCAAACGGGCAAATGGACAGGTGGTCAGGGGTACCATTCCATACCGGCACTGAATCTCAAAGCCTGACAGGAAGTATCAATTTGGGAATGGAGGCAAAGTTCAGCACCTTCCCTTCCATGTTAAATAAGATATAAAAAGGCCAGAGGACCAAGCAAAATATGACTTCTAAAGGTGATTTGCAGAAGCCATGTCCCAGAATAACTGTTACAATTAAGCTCTGGCACTAATCAAAGATTTAGTAAATATCAGATTGTATTTGTCCAATCAGATTAACTGGACTAGAAACAAGAGAAAATACTATTCTATCTCCCAAACAGGAAGGACTACATCTGTCAAAAGCAATTCCTCTGATAGTGACAGAGAACAGTTACAAACGTAGATTAAAACCACCCTGTGGCTCCTAACTCCTTTCTTTAACACATCCTTGAGTTCTGGCCTAGTGATGACAGTTTCATTTTTGGCCCTAAAAATTGGGTATATTACACATTGCATCAGCACAGAGGAACCTCCAGAATACCGTGAATAAAATAAGTGCCACAAATTCAGAACAAACCAAGTAACCTGCTGCTCTAAAAGTTCCTATGATGTGCCAGTTTGTTCAAACGCCCTGGAGCACAGGGCTGTCCAACAGAACTTTCTAGCAATGGAAACATCCTGTATCTGTGCTGGCGAGCAAATGCATGACATGTGGCAAGTGAGACTGGGGAACTGGCTTTTACGTGAAATTGAATTTAAATAGCTCCCTGGGACTAGTGGCTACCACAGGAGGCAGTGCAGATCTAGACTCTGGGGAATATCAACGTTCAATGGTACCACCAACCTACCAGCTTCCCGGCATCCATAGTTGCCTTCAGCTTTTTCCCTAGCTCTGAGCCAGAAGCCACCATGGCCCTCAGCATGTCCCCAGTTGCCAGATGGCAGACACAGAAGTTTTTGGCCAATTTGGGTGCCTGTGGAGGGAAAACAAAAATCAAAATCCAGTTACCACTGCAGGCCCTAGAGTCAGACTTCCTGGGTATGAACCTGACCCTGGAACTTATTGGCTGTGTGAATTTTGGCAAATGCGAATTTCCTTACCTGTAACAGAGATAAAAGTACCTGTAGTATAGTCTAACATATACTGACATGATATAATACATGTAAAGTACTTAAAGCAGTGCACCTAGCACATAAAACGCTATCACAAATATTAGCTATTTTCACTCCTTCTGCTAGATACATTAGTGACAGATCAGCCTCAGTTTCCCCATTACAAATGGGAAGAATAAAAAAAGTAGTATCAATACTTCACATGGTTACTGTGAAGTTTGGGTTCATGTATATAAAGCACAATGCCTGGCATGTAATGTGTTGAATGAATATTTGCCAAAGGATTGAATGTGTGATTGTCAAGTGCTGTGGCCACTGGCCCTAGAGGCAGCCGGGGCAAGGTGAAAAACACAGTTTCCTCCAGGCAGACAGTTCTTCCCCTTCCCTGGCACTAGGTAGCTGCATTATCTTGGCCAAATCACTTAACCTCCCCGAGGCTCAATTTCCTCATCTGTTTAAAAATGAAGGCATAAAGGCTCCATCAAGGAAGGTAGCTGTGAGGATCAGATGAAATATATACAAAGAGCATTGAAAAACAGTAAGCACTTGTTAGTTTTAGGAGGCAGTAAGGCCCTTTAGCTAAGAGCATGGGCTTGAGAGTCAAATGACCTGGGTTTCAGACTTCAGGCCTGCCAATGACTAGACAGATATGTTACTTGAGAGAAATTATATCACCTTTCTATGTTTCAAATTTCCTCTAAGTAAACTGGAGATGGTAATAGTACCCACACCACTGGGTTGATGAGATTATACACATTTCAGCATATGCAGGGCCAGGCTCATAGTAAGTGCTCAGTGAACATTAGCCATGACTGTAACCCCTGACCTAAGCCCATATTCATTTTTACAGAAATGAATTTACCCATTCATCATATTGATGTCTCTTCCAAGAACCCTCCTGGGAGCCAAGGAAACAGATGAATAGGAGACAGAGATTCTGTCCTCTGTGAGCTCATAGTTTGGTGGACTACATGTCACATTGAAGACCAGAACAACAGGAGACCCTGGACGGTTCAACACTGGTTGTGAACAAAACAAACAAAAAAACTGCAGAACTCATGAAGAATAGCTTCAATTCAAGGAGCTTAATAATTAGCTTTCTGGCTCACTTGTTTTGTTTAAAAAGTAGGCTTGGATCCTTGTTCAAACCAGTTACTGCGGGTTTTCGTAGGTGCACATAATAAAAACTTAATAGATGGGACTCAATGCAGCAAATTCTGGTTTGTGATTCATGGAATGATTCAGTTCAAGCAAAGAAATAACTTCAGCCGGAACTGGTTTGGCTCAGTGGATAGAGCGTCGGCCTGCGGACTGAAGGGTCCCGGGTTCGATTCCGGTCAAGGGCATGTGCCTGGGTTGCGGGCACATCTCCAGTGGGAGATGTGCAGGAGGCGGCTGATCGATGTTTCTCTCTCATCGATGTTTCTGACTCTCTATCTCTCTCCCTTCCTCTCTGTAAAAAATCAATAAAATATATTAAAAAAAAAAATAACTTCATAGCAAAACAGAACCCAAGTGAGTTGTTAAAAGCTCTGGAAAACAAATGAAGGTCAGGACCCTCTACCTTCTGGTCTTCCAGACTGGCCCAGTGGCCACACACCCAGAGAACTGTGCTTGTCTGCCAATCTTCTCCTTGGTTGTTGAATTAACTTGGGTGAAAAGTGTGAAGGTCAGGCTTGTTCAAGGGGAAAGGCTGACGAAAACACCAGAAAAGTGCTGTCAGCAGCACAAAACCTAACTGTTATTTGTATCCACCCTCACCCCCTCACCCCCAAACTACAGGACTCTTCTGGGCTGTTCCAGGTGCCTGGATTCTACAGCTACAGGGAAGGATGCTCCAATAGGGAATATGTCGTTGCAGACTAACTCTTTATTCCCTGCTGCCGCAAGGGAGTCAGGGTCATGGGCTGCAAAGAGCTCAGACTTTGGAGTCAGACATATTTGCACCTGAATCCTGGCTAAAGCACTCAATATCTGTGTGACCTTGGGCTAGTTACTTAACTTCTTAGAATCTCAGTTTCCTCATCAGTCAAATGGGATTATGGATAACATCTACTTCTTAGAGCTGTTGTGAGGATAAAATGAAATAAGGTACCCAAAACATCAGACACACAGTAGGCATTCAGTAAACAAAAGACCTCCTTTCATGTCTTTTTTTTACATTACTCTTTTTAAAAAAACATATTTTTATTGCTTTTTAGAGGGAGAAGAAGGGAGAAGGAGAGATAGAGAAACATTGATATGAGAGCAGAATATCAATCAGCTGCCTCCTGAACATCCCCTACCAGGGATTGAGCCCATAACCGGACATGTGCCCTGACTGGGAATCGAACTGGCAACCTTTCAGTGCACAGGATGATGCACAACAACTGAGCTACACTGGCCAGGGCTCTTCTCTGTATTACTCTTTACTTGCAAACTACAGAAGAAGCTTGATGAAATAACTTTACCATATTCCCCTCACACTTCAAGCTTTCACTTTAGAGCAGTGGTTCTCAACCTTCTGGCCCTTTAAATAGTTCTTCATGTTGTGACCCAACCATAAAATTATTTTCGTTGCTACTTCATAACTGTAATGTTGCTACTGTTATGAATCATAATGTAAATATCTACTATGCAGGATGGTCTGAGGCGACCCCTGTGAAAGGATCGTTCGACCGCCAAAGGGGTCGCGACCCACAGGTTGAGAACCGCTGCTTTAGAGTAATGCTACTCCAAATCACAAGGCAGGGCCATGGAGAGAGGGTGCTTCTAAAATGCAGATTCTGATTTTTTAATGTGGGGCCTGAGAACCTGTATTTTTAAAAATATATTTTTATTGATTTCAGAGAGGAAGGGAAAGGGAGAGAGATAGAAACATCAATAATGAGAGAGAAGCAGTGATCGGCTGTTTCCTGCACACCCCTCACTGGGGACTGAGTCTACAACCTGGGCATGTGCCCTGACCGGGAATTGAATCCATGGACCATTGCCGAGTCTGAGAAATAGGCCCATCACCTCTATGAGAACCCTGTGGGGAAGGGGGTGGACTGTGGGAGGGGGGCGTGGGTAACAATGGCTAAAGCCAATAGGGAGGCAGAACAGTAGCTTTAGTGCTCTCAAGCTTCAGTGTGTTATCACAATCATCTGGGGCACTTGCTAAAAATACAAAGCCAGGCCCACCCTTAAAGTTTATGACTGAGTGTGTTGGGATGCTGATGCCCACAGTCTGTGAAGCCCTGGGGGAGTGGGGGCAAGACTGGGCTTTACAGTGGGACAGATCTTGGGTGGGCACCAGACTTACAGTTTACTCACTGTATCCCCTGGAACAAGTAATGCAGCCTTCTTAAAGCCTCAGTTTCTTCATCCCTAGATACAGACAACCATGTCCATCTGCAGAGCTGTTGTGGGGATTTAATACGATTATATATGCAAAAGCATCCAGCACAGTGCCTGGCATTTAGGGAAATAAAGGGAAGCTAACAGTTGTTCAGATTTGATTTAATCTCAAACTTACTTGTGACATCTTTCTGACTCCAGTTTTTTCGGCTCCCATCTCTAAGGTTCCTGCATATGTAGCTAGAATCATCTCCTAAGACACTGTTGGAAATGTTACGCCACCCCATTCCTCTACCCCCAACACACACATTCAGGAGGCATCAACGTCTCCCCAGTGCAATGGGGAAGTCCATATATCTTAGCCTAGCACTCAGCGTCCTCCACAATCAACTTTCTAAACCCCCAAAGTTCTTCAAATTTACCCCCACAAATCCCATTCTGTATTCCCTGCACCACTGCAAACAGCTGCTCTCTGTATAATTCTCAGACATAAAATAAGTCTCTCCATGGACATTAGCTCAAAGCTCCTCTCTATGCAGGAATACCCTTTCCCTTCCCCCTACTGGTCTAACCTCTATCCTTCCCTGTAGTCAAATTCTGAGCTTATCTCTCCCACCCAATTATCCCTTCTTCCTCCAAGAAGTCTTAACATCAGCAAACTTTGAGTTTACAACATGCCAAGCAATTTTTCCATGTGTTGTTTTATGGTATTTAGTATCCATAATACATTACAAATCCATGAGGTAGGAATTATTTTTATCTGCATTTTACAAATGATATTCAGAGGCTAAGTTGTCCAAGATCACGTAGCTAATAATAATAGTTAGCAACAGGCCTCAAGACTGTTGAGCCCTAGCTCTTAACCATGATGCTATATGGCAGTGATTTTCAACCTTTTTCATCTCGTGGCACACATAAAATTACTAAAATTCTGCAGTATACTAAAAGATATATTTTTTGCCCAACTGACATTTGATTCATTCACACCAGATGGCTCTTGTGTTGGCTGTCATTTTTAAAATATGACAATCTAGGGGAAAAGAGGTCAGTGCCCGACTAGTCGGGTATTGCGGTATACCAGTCGAAAATCGCTGCTACATGGCCTTGTTAAATCACAACCCAGAGCCTTAGTGGCTGTCCTTGGGAAAGTGTGTGTGTCTGGAAGAGAGCACAGGAGGACATTATAGACCTGGCAATGTTGTTTTCTGCTTATGGGTCTAAGCTACACAAGTACATTCATTCACATGGTGAAATTTCATCAAGCTGCTTGCTTATGACATTTGCACCTGTCTCTCTAGATAATACTTCAATTAAAAAAGTTTTTTAAAATTTTTTTTTATTAATTAAATCTTTATTGTTCAGATTATTACATTTGTTCCTCTCCCCCACCCCCCATAACTCCTCTCCACCCAGTTCCCACCCCACCCAATACTTCAATTAAAAAAGTTTTTAAAAAGCATAGAAACCTGTGTTTGAATTTCAGCTCTGCCTCTTAACTTACCATGTAACCTTAGGCAAGAGATTCTTTGAGGCTGTTTCCTTGTCTATAAATTGGGGATATTATTACCAAAATCACTGAGTGGGTAGGAGGAAGAACAGAAGACTGTCAACAAATTCTAGTTCTTGATCTAATCCTGAACTAACCTAGTCACTCACCTGCCCCTTCCCACATGGGACTTTGCACTAGCATGTATTGTTTGCATGAATGTTCACTTCTGCCCCAATACCTTGACTAATAGTGACAATGTAAGGTGGTGACTCTGCTGCTCAAGAATCAGAGTTCAAATCCTGCCCTCACTACTTTATGAGCATCTTGGGGGAGGATACAGCCTCTGGGCTTCAGTTTACCAGTAAAAAGGCATGGATAACAGGACCTACCTCTTGGGTTGTGGGTTTAAATAATAGAACACATGCAAAGTCTTTGGCCAGGAGTCTTACATAATCGAGCAAAGGGTGGCTATTTTGTATATTACACCCCCTCCTCCAGGGCAAGGGCTGCTCTCTCCATCTTCAGCACGAGACGTATCCAACAAAACACGCATAGGGCGGGAGAAAAATCTAACCCAGGGCAGCAGATAGCAGCAGAGAGAGCAGGAGCTCTTGAGTCATGCAGGTACAAGATCTGCCAAGTATTTGCTATGTCACATAGAGGACAAGCACTTTGAACTTCAGTTTCTCTAACTGTAAAAGGGGAAATGAGTGTCACTGCATGGACATAACTGACAGCCTGACTTGCAAGATGATAACTAATTGCTTAAGTGTGCCTGGCCTTCATTTGGTATAGATTGGACACATGAAAAAAAATGTGAAGAGGGGCTGGCAAAGAAAACACAAAACACATCTGTGTTTTGGCCACACTGTAGGAACATCCAATCACAAAAGGAACACTGGGAAGTAAAGTCATTTAAATAAAATAACCCACGTATACTAGATGTTTTAAACATCATTATGTTGATGAAAAAGTAGGCAGTTCCTGGCCAGTGTTGCTCAATGGTTGAGCACCGACCCATGAACAGGGAGGGCACTTGCCCCAGTTGCAGTTGCAGGCTCCATCCCCAGTGGGGGGGCGTGCAAGAGGCAGCCAATCATTGATGTTTCTCTCCAAATACACCTCCCCCTTCCTCTCTCTCTCTAAAATCAATTTTAAAAACATATTTTTAAAAAAGAGTTTTAATAGGAAACATTTAATTTCAGTCACACCAACATAAAAACATTGAATGAGTTATGCAGGTATATAAAGATGTACTCGTGGGAAGAAAACAAACATTACTGAGTAGGTACTAGGCACAAACCTAGGGTAAAGATTTTACATCAAAAGCTGAAACCGGTTTGGCTCAGTGGATAGAGCGTCGGCCTGCGGACTGAAAGGTCCCAGGTTCGATTCCGGTCAAGGGCATGTACTTGGGTTGCGGGCACATCCCCAGTGGGAGATGTGCAGGAGGCAGCTGATCGATGTTTCTAACTCTCTATCTCTCTCCCTTCCTCTCTGTAAAAAATCAATAAAATATATTTAAAAAAAAAAAAACAAAAAAAAACCCTGCAAACATTTACCAATAGGGGCCAGGCAGGCAATGCAAGTGAATGAAGTGGGGCAAATGTAAGCAAGCAGGGCAGAGGACTCTGCAGGGGACCACAGCGCACATGAGCCACCCAAAGCGGCCTCACCATTCAACTGCATGCCAGGCCGGATTGGAGGCCCAGAGCCCCCAGATCTGACTTCTCAAGAGAAACTAGAGCTCTGGATATTAACTGAAATTCCACAACTGAAAACTCTGTGTGGTCAACTTATTTTATTTATTTGAGAGAGAGACACACACAGACAGACATCAATGTGAGAGAGAAACATCAACTGGCCACCTCCTTGCAAGCTGCAGACCAGGGACTGAACCTGCAACCTGGGTATGTACCCTGATCAGGAATCGAACCTGCCACCTTCCGGCATACAGAATGATGTTCTAACCAACTGAGCCACGCCGGCCAGGGCTCAACTTATTATTTTGAAAGTTGACAAATAAATAAATCAGAGCCGTGGCTGATAGGTCCATTGGTTAGAGCACTGTCCTGATATGCCTAGGTTGCAGGTTTGATCTCTGATCAGGGCACATATAAGAAGCAACCAATTAATGCATAAATAAGTGGAACAACAAATCAGTGTTTCTCTGTCTCTGTTTCTCTCTCTCCTTTCCTCTCCCTCTAAAATCAATAAATAAAATTAATTGAAAAAGGAACAAAGCAAGCATTTATTCTGCCTTTTCTATACAAACCATACCAAATAGCAGGTGGGAAGTTTCTCTTTACAGAAGCATTTCAGTTAATAAACAAAAAGAGAATGATATAATTAGAACACCACCATTTTGCCATCCACGATGAATTCTGGAACCGGCATCATCAGAGACAAGTAGACCTGATGTGCCTCCTAATGCACAGCACAGCACCACCTGTGATCTAGGTGGGCTACGAAACTGAACTCAGATTTGGTAAGTGTATGATTAAACTACCAATTCACAGGAAATAGAGAGGAAAGGGGAAGATGTTAAATATGCCATGGAGATACAATAAAAAATTCCCAGAAAAAGGGACACTCCCAGGACAAACAACTCAGTTTCTCCCACAAAAAAACTGCAAAAACAACAACAAAACTAACCTGCAACAAACAAACAAACAAAGCTAGGAGGAAAGCTGTAAATTAAGACTTACAATGATCACATTTGTGAGACAAAGGGAAATGTGAACATTGACTACTAATAAAAATTGTTAATATTTTAAGGGGATATTGTGCTTGTTTACAAAAAATAATTTATCTTTTAGAGACACACACTGAAATATTTGCAAATGAAATGATATAATGTCTGGGTGCTGCTTTAAAATAATTTGAGAAGGGAGAGTAAATGGGGAAGGAATGGCCCCCAGCTTATGGTGATTAAGGCTGGATAATGGGTGTATGGGGGCTCATTATACCATCCTGTCTTCTTTTGTGTATTCAAACTTCATAATAAAGTTAGGGAGCACCTGCAGGCTAAATGCTGCTGTAGGCTGCCACTTCGCAACCTCTGATTTATGAACACTTTTTTTTAATTCCATAAAACTACAACCACCTATTGTTCCAATTATGAAAAGCTGTATAGGGTAACTCATGTAAATCTTACCCTTCCTTCAAGTCCCAGCTCTAATTACATCTCTCTACTTCAAGCATGCTTGCTCTACTTCCACAAAGCCTCTGACCAACACCCACATATCTGCACCCTTACATATCAGCTCATAATTTTCTTCAACTCTTTCTGACTACATCATCCTTTATACTGAAATACATCTGAGTTGGGAGGGTGGGGAGATGTGTTACTAAGAGGAGGGAGTCAATAACTATTGAATACCTACTATGTGCCAGGTTGTCATCTAGGTACCTATAGGTGCTCTACACACACATATAAAATTATCTTCCAAGATCCTCGTTTTGGTCTATCTACATGGGCACTGCTCTATCTAAATGAGTAAGGTAGTAAGGTAGGGGACCTACTTTTCCTGTGAGAACACTGAGGTTTGGAAGTTACAAAGTTTGCTAGACTATAAAGCCACTGTCCCAGCACTGGGCTGGGTTATCCATTTCACCACTACTGAAATTATTAACTTCAATATGAACTAAGGAAAAATAATAACCAATGCCTTTGAGCTACCCTGTTTATACTCACAGCAAAAATCTGCAGAGTCTTCTAAGACGACAGGTTACCTAATAGCTGAGGGTGGTAGCAACAGGAAAGAGGAGACTGCAGTGTTATTAAGGACAGGTGGATTAGGCAACAGTGAGTTCCAAGGATCAATCAGCTCTGGCTAATAAGAAAAAAAGGTTAAGTGGTCCTTCTTGACCTAGTATCCGGAGCTAAAAAGCAAAATCCCAGAAATGAACTGAATCTCCCAGACGTCCCTTCTCATCATCCACATGAACCTGTATGCATCCATTTCCAGCATCCCCATCAAGTACCAAGTAATGTGCTGGGTGCCACAGGGGTCCCAAAAATGAGTAAGACAAGATGGTCTGTTTACAAGACTTTGCGAGTACAGTAAGAGAAGAGTGGGCACAGAGCAGTCCCCAGAACCCCATTCATTTAGCAGCAAGAGCCTGGGGCCGGGGTGGGGGAGGGGAGTAATGCCAGACCCTAGGCCGAAGGGTTGCTAATCCAACCAATGGGCTTCCAAATCCTAAATAAGATCATAAATCCCAACCTTGATCTCTAGGCCCATTCCACCCCAGACACCGAGTGAGGCCCCACAGTCTGCTAGGGCAGAGGTAACTTCAGACTCCAATTACGTGGAGCCCCATGGTTCCAGGCTCCATTAAGTCAATTTTGCTAACGTCGGAAAGCCAGCCACCTGACCTCTCGGGGCCTGTTTTCTTACCTGTAGATTGAGGTGCCCTT